CGAACCTGTTCAGACGTATAGGTAGACGTATTCAGATTCTTACAGAAACAGAATTTAAGAAAAATTACATTTAAGTATGTTATCATTTCTCTGGATTTTTAAAGCATGAAATGTAATTTTATGAAATATTTTACATTATACTCTGAAAGCCTGGTTTAAGAAATAAAATAAAAGTTTGAAGTTATTGTTTTTTCACTAAAAAATTGTTCTTTAAAAAATGACAACTTTAAGCATCTGCGGGGAAGCGCCAAGTAGTCTAAAAAGAAAAAGTTATATCAGAATATGAAAATATAATTTGCAACAGTCTTGCATAAACAGAACTAGATCACAATCCTATTTATATCGGATTTTTGCGAATCTGGAATTAATATCGCTAATTAATGCGATGATTTATAATCAAAAATTCTGAAACTGAGTTTAAACTTTGAATGATTAATTCCTTTGAATACACACTGCAGCCGTTTTTCAAAACGCCTTAAGGTAAAAAAAAAAAATTTCGACTTTTTTACAAAATAAGCTAGTTTAGATGTCTACTAACCTTATTAAATATATATTTTCAAAGAGTTCTGAAAAAATTCATAAAAATTATTCGTTTCAAAAAACGTTTTACAAAGAGTTCTCCTTATAATTTTTTTTTTTTAATTACATTTTTCTCGAAATACGTAATAAGCATATTAAGGCGTTTTGAAATACAGTGGTTTGAAATAATCAAAAGATTATTTCAAACCTAAAAGAATATCTAAAGGAATTAATTATTCAAAGTTTAAACTCAGTTTCAGAGAGCTTGATTACAAATCATCGCGAACGTTTATTTACTGAAATCTTAGACATGTTTGGGACAGGGCAATTCAGTGATATGGGTATAATGTTAGTCTTCAAAAATTCTGTGCAAAAGATATAAAGCAGCATTATGTTTGAAAGATATTTATTTTCGATCACAATTTGCGAAAAATAATTTCATAAAGAAATAGTGAAGGCATAATCTTGACCGAAAATTCAGTTGAAAAAGTCAGTAACAAGTTTTTAATCTCGGCAATTAAAGATTTTTTCAC